GAACTTTTGCTCAGAATTCTCTGTCCCATGCCATGGTCAGGCCCAAACCCAAATGTGTCCCTTGCACCTGGGACAGGTGAAGGGCTTCTCTATCCCACCCTACCCCACCTCTGCCCTTGATATCTTAGGGAACTTAAGTTTTAGAGTCCGGTTTCAGAGATGTTTGCCTCTGAATGCAGAGCTGGAGACCTGTGACCAGGGGCACTGGCGGCTGCTTCTCGGGGCCGCTCTCTTCTGACCCCCACTGCCTGCCCCTGGTCCTTGTGAGCTAGGGGGAAGCTGCGCTATCAGCTTTCTGATAGTCTGTGAAGTCTGGCAAGGGTGTCCGAGACCAGGCCAACTTCTGGATTCAGTGAGAAAAAAGGAAGGGCTTTGGACCTGGCATGCACAGCCATCACTCATTGGACAGAAGTTGTTCCAGAGAACACTGCAGAGAACAGACCTTGGGCTTCAGGCAGGTGAGGATGGCCAAAGAGCACAGAAGCTCCCCATCTTGCCCAGCAGCAGAGGAGCACAAGCAGTGGACCCAGCTGGGGAATCTACTTGTCTTGCTTGGCTGTTTTAAAATGGTTGCTAATGGAGTCTGCACTGTGGCACAGTGGGTAAAGCAACTGTCTGCAGTACTGACATGCCATATAGGAGCTGGTTTGAGTGCTGGCTGCTGCTCCATTTCTGATCCAGCTCCCTGCTAATGCACCTGGGAAGGTAGAGGAGGATGGCCTGAGTGCATGGGCACCTATATCCTGTGGGAGACCCAGATGGAGCTCTTAGCTACAGCCTGGTCCAGCTCTGGCTGTTGCAGTCCATTTGAGGGAGTGAACCAGCTAACAGAAGATCTCTTTCGTTCAGTGTGTTTTGCCCTGTTCTCTCTCTGACATTCTGCTTTCCAAATAAATGATCTTAAAAATAAAAAAAAAAAGGAGGAAACCAAGTTCCGGAAATGGAGGAAACATTGTCAGGGAAGAAACAGTCAAAGTTAGGACTCTGGCATCCTGCCAAGGCCAGTACATGCGGATCCTCTGCTCAGCGTCTCCCTGCTGCACTCAGTCTGGGCACCCAGGCCACACCGTGGGGTGGGCACCAAGCATGCAGGCTTCCTTTGAGCACCAGACAGTGAAAGCTCTGAGGACCACATGGTGTCTGCTGAAGTTCTGCTTCTGCATTCCAAAAGCAGCCACAGGCAACCCATGACCGAATGAGTGGGTCTGGTGTGTTCTAATAAAACTTTATGGACAACCACACGTGAAAGGGCCAAGTTTGGGCCCTAGGGTGACTGTGTGGCAATTCTGCTTTAGCGTCTCCAGTGTATCTCAAAGAATTCAAGGAAACTGTTGCTTTATCTCAGTGATATGCTCAGGTTCATGTCACATAAAATTAACGTTTGAATTGCTGCAGCACTGTGGCACTGTGGATGGAAAGACGGCACATCTGTCCAGCTGTCACTGGCTGGCCTACGGTTGTGGGGTCCCAGAAGCTGCGTGTGGGCTGCCTGCAAGGCCAGCAGTCGAAGCTGGCACTTTTCTGGGGCTTTGTAGAATCTGAAATCTCAGCAACTTGTGATCTAACTTGTGATCTAACTCCCTGCTGAAGCACCTGGGAAGACAACAGAAGAGGATCCTACACGCACAGTTGCAGCACTCCATCTGCTCCCCTCGACTGCTTTGTGTGCCTTGCAACTAAAATCCTACCAGGATGCAACAGCAGGCTGGACGGCTGGCACTGCCCCAGCATATGCAGCCACACCCATGGCTTCTCCAGGACAGGGCACAGCAGTGGCTCCCTCCCACCCTGGGCTCACAGTAAGTGGGCACACCTGGTGGGTAGCCAGTCTGGGCCTGTGTCTACATAGGCGAGGTACTGAGTGTATGCAAGCAGCACAAGGGAACAATGAGTCTGCCTTAACCATGTGCCCTGGGAATAGGGTTGCACCCTGGGCAGGACACAGGGTCACATGTGTGTCCTGTGTGGCTGGCGGGAGGGGGCCCAGCAGCTGTCAGATCCCACAGAGTTCACTCTGCCTTGTTAGGCGGTCCCAGCATTGTGCTAGCCCACCCTACAAGCAGCCAGGACCTGAAGGGGTAGTCACTTGGAGCTATGGGGGGGGGGGGGGGGGGATATCCTCTTCTCCTGCCCCTTCCTGGCCTTCTGGCTTTAGCCCATCAGCCTGGCTTGAGGTGTACCCTCTGGGGATGAGCTATGAAATACAAATTTGCCTAATCCTGGCGATTTTGAATATAAGCCAAAGGCTCTCATACTTGCATGTAGAGCAGGCATGGCATAACAGGAAGATGAACAGCAAAATACATGATCGCAATTTTTAAATTCCGATCTTCCTGACTTGGGGAGATATTAGAAAGTCAATTTCAAGCCCTTGAGAGGTTCAGAGAGAGACTGAGAGACAGCAAGAGGCTTGATTTATTTATGCCTTTCACAGCATTTCCCCCCTGTCTTTTATACAAGAGCTCCTGTCTCTTCATTTTGTGCCAGCCCCAGGAGTTTTGTACCTGCTCTGCCAGTACTCCCCAAGGGGGGAGGGGCGGGACACAGCTAACATCCTGGTGATATGGGGGCAGCCAGATGCTGCACCAAGTTCTAACAGATGCCACCCAGGAGTCTGGCCCGTGGGAGTGCTCCCTTCATTTTTCCCTTCTGCAGACACTCCAGATGCACGCTGCTGAAGCTCAGCATGGGCATGACATGAGTGAGCTGGTGGTCAGGGCTGCAGGGGCCAAAGCCTGGAAACCCTTCTGTCAATTGCAACCCCTGGCAGTCACCCCTAACACTAACGCAGTGAAGGTCAAACAGGGCACAAAATGCCAATCACACTACCCAAGTGGGTTAGGGGTCAGGGCCAGTGGCAGAACCAGACCGTGTACAAGCATGTCCACTGGCGGAAACCATCCTGTGGGCGTCTGGCACAGCAGTTTAGCCACCCGTTGGAGGTCTGCATCCCAGGTCAGAGTACTGGTTGGGGTCTCAACTCCTCCACTTCCAATCCAGCTCTCTGCTAACTTACAGTGTGGGAGGCTCAAGCAGAGGAGCCCCTGCCACCCAGGTTGCAGACCTGGATGGAATTCCCAATTCCTGCTTCAGCCTGGCCCAGCCCTGGCTATTGTCAACATTTGGGCATTGAACTGAAAGCTGGAAGATAGATCTCTCTCTCCTTGCGTGTATGTGTGTGGGTGTGTCTTTCAAACAAAATGAAATAAATAAATTAAATTTAAAAAATCCAAATAGAACAGAAGCCAAACAAAATAGGAAAATATTTTCTGCTCACAAAACAGACAAAAAGGTTACATATTTGAGAATAAAAACTCTTCAGAGTAACAGGAAAGAAACTAAAATCCCAGTAAGCTAAGTGCAACCACACACACACACGTACACAAATGGTCCACTTAAAAATACACCACGGCCTGAGACTATAGCCTCATCACCATCAAATACAACAAATGCTCCAGCTGTGCCACCAAACTGTCACAGCTACAAAGGCCTCTGTGGTGGGAGGGGATGGGGGAGATGGGCATGAGCAGGTGGGTCCCTCCTGGGGAAGGCTCTGGTGTGTCAGCCAGGTGCATCCCTGCTGACGAGCACTTTCACTTCTAGGAAGTGAGTTTGAGGAAATACTTAGGTGTGAGTGATAGAGGCAGCTGTAACGAGGTAGCCCTGCCCACAGCATCTCCCACCTCTAAAAGGGAAGTGTTTTGTTCCCCCAGCAGGTACCATAAGATGGGGCGCTCCACTCAGGATGGTGCAGCCAGGGTGATACGGTTGTTCAAATGAGGCAATAGATCAGCGCCAGGAAAAAAACTGCACACACTTTCATAAATTTGTTCTAATGCTCCTTCGTAAATAAAACAGTATCTGTGTTAAATATAGAACGTTTTAATAAGCAAAGAAAAAATGTTATTTCTTTGGATTTAAAGAGAAGCAGCCTGGAGTGGCAGGGGTGCCAGAATGGGCTGTCGGGGATGGGGACGGCAGTCTCAGTGCTGGAAGACCCTCCCCGCACCCAGATGGCTCCCATGAAGTCCTCAGCAGGTGTTTCTAACCCCTTCTGCCTCTGGGAGTTTTGAGATGAAGACGGGGGGCTTGTACTTTCATCCTGGTTTCCCTAGGTGATGGGGGATGGGATACTGCCCTGCTGACCTCCACCCTGCCACCTGTGTCCCTGGGCTGCAGTCCCAGCCAGTTTTCATTGCTCCAAATACGCCCCAGAACCTCTGTGCCACCTATTCCTCCAGCCTGGAACCCATCGAGTTGCAGAGTCCCAGGAAACTCGGCTGTAGGATCCTGCCCTGTGCCAGCACCGGCTTCTGCCACAAGCCCCTCGCCACAAGCCATGTGGTCAACTAGCAGTCAGTACCCATCTGTGTGGCCCAGAAAAGAGGTGTGGTCTGCCAACTACCTGGACTTCTCTCTAGGAATCTTGCTGCTATCACTGTTGGCTTGATCACATTCAACTTACTATGAGGGAATGAATGAAGTTAACTGCCAAAGCCACGGGAACGTTTCAGACCACCTGTCACAGAGGCAGGTGGATGAGTCCCAGCCTTATGCATTGTTGATGGAGGACACTCGACTTCTGGGGAAATCTGCATGTGTTGTGGCTACATCTGATCCTATGGGCTAAGCTGCCCTTCACTGAGAGACTGAAAAAGCACGCACACACACACATTATCTCAACACTCACAGTGCATCCATGCTAGTAGCTCATGTCCCTGTGTGGGGAGGATGGGTGGTTGCTAGAGCCAAGTGACCCTTCCTAACAGACCCTTGGGAAGTCAGAATCGCTCCCCAGGGAGCAAGGCTCAAGGAGGAGAGGGGACGCTTGGTTTGGCTAGCCTGTGGGCTGCCCTCAGAGCACAGCACTCACCTCCTGCTGGATCAGGAAAGGCAGCTGGTCAGAGCACACAGGCCACCAGCCCCGCCTGTGCTGGGCCCCGCCCTCCACCTGCCCCCACAGGCTGCGCCCCTCTGGCCCCAACCTGTCCCCCACTCACGATGTTCATAAGTGTTAGCAGGTACTTCTGCACGTGCTCTTTGCCGTGGAACTGCACGACGGAGTCGTCCACGCCCAGCAAGACCTCGATGTTGTAGTCGTCGTCCGTGATGTGCCTGCGTGCTCTCCGCCGTGAGCTGTTGATGCGCTCCTCCAGGATTCCCAGCGCCTGGCTCAGGCTGTCCAGGCTGCCGGAAGAGGCCTCTGCAATGGAAAGACCCAGGCTACAGCAGTGGCCAGAATCACCAGGCACCCTATGCCCTTGAGCAAGCAGAACACACTGCTGTGCTCATTTTACACAGAACACACCGAAGCCTGGGGAAGGGACTCCCACTCAGGAGGCTAAACCAACACCCTGCTGACCCTCTCCTCAGCCTCACAGAGTCTCTAGCCACTCAGCAGGGGCCTTCCTGAGATTATCAAGACCTGGGAAGGCAGGCACCCAGGGCCATAGTGAGAGCAGACAGAGATGTTCCCTGCCCACTGCTGCTGACTCACACATTTCCAAGCGGATGGGCATCCCAGGTGCCTCCACCCACTGTAGCTGGGGAAACCCAAATCTGGAATGGACAGGGTGGGTTCCCCAGCATGACCACCACCCCAACTTTCTTGTCCACCAGAAGAGTCCTGCTGGGCCAGGAACCCCCTGTTCAGGGCTTTCCCTCTGTCCAGCAGCCTGCCGCCAATGCATGGTCCAAGGTGAGCCCCTCTCAGGGTACTGCACTACCACTGAATCTGCCCTAGGCAAGCACTGGCTAGCTCTGCCCCTGCAGGCTCAGCCCTTGACCACGAGGGCTCAAGCTGTCACTTCCACTGTCTGCCCAACTGTGGCTTCTGCCACTCTTCCCTTTTACTTTCCTCTTGGGTCTGGAGCACACTCTGCACCCCAGCTCCAGGCCCCAGCCCTCTTGTGGGGCCCTGGGGGAGGGGGAGAGCCAAGCTGACCAGTTGGTGTCCTGGCTGCTTGGCAACCTCAGTGCCACTGTCCTGGGGCCCCTCATCCCCTTTGCACTGGTTTCAGGGACCCCCGTCCAGGGAAAGACTAGGGACACAGATGACACCACCAACTCACAGGTAGGGTACAGGCCCAGTGTCCTTACAGCTGGTGGGGCGGGGAGTAGGGCCAAGGACTAAGAGGCCAGGTTAGTCCTGCCCCCACTGGTAGTGTGCCCTGCCCTCACTCCCCCAACTCCCAACCACACCGCCACACTCTTCTTCTTTTGTTCTACCGGCCTGTTAAACACATCCTGCCATCAGGATAGCTCCAGCTGGCTCTGGAGGCAGCACAGCAGCTCATGGAAATGCTGATGGGGCCTCCCCATACCAGGTCCTTTCTCCCACCAGGCTCGTCATGCACACCTTCTCATCCAGGTTGGACAACATGCATTCCAGGTAAGAATTATTGTCCCCATGTCACAGTTGGGGAGACTAACTCTTTTTTTTTCCTTCTATTCTATTTTTTTTTATGTGATACAGTTTTATAGGCACTGGGATTCCCCCTCCTCTCCCACAACCCTCCCCCCATGGTGGATTCCTCCAGAGACTAACTCTTAACCATGTGCTATAGCCTCCCCCTATCTCTCTTGTCAGCCTGGGAGGTGACAGAGGGCTCTCTCTGCAGGCTGGAGACAGGAGCAGGACCAGGGCGGGGGTGCAGGTGGGAACAAGAGGGGCTTAGCAACTGCTTGGGTTTCTGTCGCTTGGCTCTGCAGTCCCTGTGTCCCCCCAGACACACCCACACCCATGCACACACTCATGTGTGCACATGCACATTGATGCACCTGGCAGGCACTGCCCAGGGCCAGCAGTGCCCGTAGGAAGTATCAGTCCACAGCGCAGTAATGCTGGGCTCAGTAGCTGGCAGAGGACTGGGGCAATCCCCATGTTCCAGAGGAGATGGTGGGAACTACAGCCTGCTGCTGGGGGCTGAGACCTGCACTCTATTTTTATACATTTCTATCTCTGCAGGCCGGTTCACCTTGGGAGGCAGCGAGAGAGTGATTTTCACAGAAAATGCCTCTCTTGGGAGCCAGGCCACCAGGCTCTGCCTCCCACCTCATGTGGGCAGCTGCCAGCCAGAGCCAGGACATAGGCACTTAGGAGGGCCACAGAGTCTTAAAAAAACACCCAGCTTAGTTATCAGTTTTGAAAACTGGATGATCTCATGGTTTTTTTTTTGTTTGTTTGTTTTTACAATCTAGACTATTCCATTTCTCTTGAGAAACTAGGAGCTAGGGCCATCCCCTTGGTGGGGAATAAGTAGCCTGGACAATAAACTGGGGGCCTGGATAGCCTGCTGCCTGTCTGCCACCTCCATGCCTCCTGCTCCCAAAGTCATTGCTGTGCCCTCCTGACCAATGCCCTGGTCTCACTGTGCAGGGACAGTGCCAGACAACTCTGAGAAGAAGCCACAGGGGGCTGAAGGTGGCCAGAGCAGACCGCTCCCATCCCCTCCCCCGGGTGAGGCTGCTTTCACCAGGCACGCTCAGTCCACAGCCAGGTGGATGTTACTGCTCAGTGCGAAAGAGCAGAATTCTCTAAACGTTCTGAAAATGTACTTCCACCTCAAGCATTGTTACTATTGTTGCATCAGTATTTTCTTTTTAAAATGTTTATTTATTTGAAAGGCAGAGAAACTGAGAAAAGGGGAGCTATATACACAGACACACACACATGCACGAAGAATTGAGGGAGAAAGAGAGAGCCTCCATCCACTGGCTCACTCCCCAAATTGCTACAACAGCCAGGTCTAGGCCAGGCTGAAGCCAGGAGCTAGGAACTCCATCCAGGTCTCCCATGTGGGTGGCAGAGATAGAAAACTGTGCCCCGTGTTCTGCTGTTCATATTGAACCCCTCACTGCCCCTGTGGGACACCCCCTAAAAAGGCCCAGAGGGAAGTGACCATCAGCCCTTGCAGTGGAAGCCCTGGAGCTCCCACACCCCTCAGGCTACACCGCAGCCCCTTTAGGCACAGACTCCTTTGTCTCCACTGGCACCCACCACGGTTCCTCACTGCACACCACTGGGGACAAAAGGCACAGGGGTACATGTAGCCTCAAGAAGTGCAGAGTCCCAGTGACGTGGACTGGGCCCCCTCTCTGTGCAACAACCATCCTCTCATTTCCCCCACGTTTCCTTATTTCTTCCTAAATGGAGACGGTCTCTGCCCTGCCTTTTCCCCCATAACTGAGGGTCTGGTTTCAGCAAGTGCAGTTCTCCTCTCCCCTGTGAATGTGCCGGGCATGGACCACCTCCTTGTAGATCAAGGCCCGGCTGCCTTCACTTCCTCACTGCCCCACAGGTAGGAGTTGTGGCACAGGCAGCCAGGGTCCAGCAGAGGGGAGTCAGGGTTCCTGTAGGGGCAAGGAGCTGGGCTGACAGGATGGGCCAGGTGCAGCAGGGCCAGGAGGGAAGGAGAACAAAAGTGCAGAGACAGGTGGAAAAGCACACACCAGAATAAAACTCAGCTATTCATTCCTTGTGGGAGGCACAATGGGAACAAAATGATAGAATGATTAGAATTAGCAGGACAGAAAACATGTGTGCCATGTAACTGCCAACCAAAAGGACCCTGGTGCTATCATGGTCAGGGGATGTGCTTATCTACAGCCGGTAGAGAAGATGGGAGGTGTGTACTCAATGCTCCTGACATCTTCGGCTGGACCTGGGGAGCAGGCAACACAGCCACAGCTACAGGGGCACGCTAACATGATGCTCAGAACACAGCACAGGAGTTCCATGTGAGGATATGGCTGAATTAGATAACCTCAAGCTTAAACCCAACAACCAGAAAGCATACCTCCCACCTTTTAAAAAAATTATTTACCTGAAAGGAAGATTTACAGAGAAAGGGAGAGAAAGAGATCTTCGTAGCTGGTTCACTCCCCAGATGGCCGAAGCCGCCATAAACTGGGTCAGACCAAAGCCAAGAGTCTGAAACTTCATTGGAATTTACCATACGGGGGCAGGGTTGCAAGCCATTGAACCTCCATCTATCTGCTACCTTTCCAGGCACATGAGCAAGGAGCTGGATCAGAAGTGGAGCAGCTGAGACTCAAGCTGACACTCCCATGGGATGCTGAAATTGCAAGCAGCAGCTTAGCATGCCACAGCACCAGTCTCAGCATATCCAATTAAAAGATTCATTTATTTTATTGGAGAGGCAGATCTACCGAGAGGAGAAACAAACAGAAAGATCTTTTGTCTGCTGCTTCACTCCTCAAGTGGCTGCGATGGCCAAAGCTGAGCCAATCCAAAGCCAGGAGCCAGAAGCCTCCTCCAGGTCTCCCACATGGATGCAGCGTCCCAAGGCATTAGGCCATCCTCCACTGCCTTCCCAAGCCACAAACAGAGCTGGATGGGAAGTGGAGCAGCTGGAACACAAACTGTCACCTACATGGGATCCTGGCACATGCAAGGCAAGAATTCAATCACTAGGCTCTCACACCAGCCCCTCCCTCAATTGTCCTTTATAAGCACATGGTGGCCCAAGTTCCAAATCACATAGGCAAATCAGAAACACAATTAACCATCTCTGACACTGAGATGAGATCAGAAACAGCAACCAAAGGAAGGCACCTTAAAACTCTAAATGCAGGGCAGTATTGTTGCACAGCAGATTAAGTCATAGCCTGTGACAGAAATCCCATACTGGAGCACTGGTTTGAGTCCTGGTTGCTTATGCACTTGGAAAAGCATTGGAAAATTCCACCCAAGGGAGACCTGGATGGAGTTCCTGGCTCCTGGCTTCCATCTGGCGTGGAGCTGGCTATTATGGGCATCTGAGGAGTGAACCAGCAGATGCAAGAACCCTCCACACCCATCTCCCCATCTCTCCTTGTCATTCTGCCTTCCAAATGAATAAACAAATCTTCAAGAAAGCCTAAATGCCAGGAATCAAAAACACCATTCTAATAAGCTCAGGCTAAACAGAAAACAGACTCCAATTGTTGGCTCAAGTGGGAAGCTTGAATAAATCAAAACCTTATGAAGAAATTGGAAATGTGGTCAAAGAAAAAGCCAGAAGCTTTTACAGCAGAGTTCGACCAAACCTACATGGAATAGATAATCCTTGCCTCACATACAGGGGTACCCAAAGATCAATACTGTTCTTGTTCATAGCAACACAAACTAGAAAACAGAGTAAAGAGACAGCTCGTCAACTTAGCAGTAGAATCCGTAAAATACCTAGGAACAAACAAAAT